ATATATATATATATATATATATATATATATTATATTATATATATATATATTATATATATATATACACACACACACACACACATATATATATATATATATATATATATATTATATATATATATAATATATATATATATTATATATATATATATATATGTGGTGTGTGTGTGTGTGCGTGTGTGTGTGTGTGTGTGTGTGTGTGTGTGTGTGTGTGTCTGTGTGTGAGTGTGTGTGTGTGTGTGTATGTGTGTGTGTGTGTGTGTGTGTGCTGTGTGTGTGTGTGTGGTGTGTGTGTGTGTGTGTGTGTGTGTGTGTGTGTGTGTGTGTGTGTGTGTGTGAGTGAGTGTGTGTGTGTGTGTGTGTGTGTGTGTGTGTGTGTGTGTGTGTGTGTGTGTGTGTGTTGTGTGTGTGTGTGTGTGTGTGTGTGTGTGTGTGTGTGTGTGTGTGTGTGCATATATATTTATGTGTATATACATACATATGTATATAATACTAAATGGTATTTTTCTGGAATACGTACTCCAAGCGGACATCGACGATTTTTGATATCATTGGATTCCTCACACTGTCTACAATGCATAAATGTAGATTTTATTGCGCGGAAACCCTCCGTTAGCGACAAAATTGCCCAAAAAAAACATGTATGTATCGTAGACAGTGTGAGGAATCCAACGATACCAAAATCGTCGATGTCGCTTGGCGGACATATTCTAGAAGAATACTTTAATATAGTACCCCTCTATAACGTTTTCACAGAAAATAAATGGTTCAGATTGTTTATAGAAAATGTATAGCTTATGGGGGGACTTCTTTGTATTTGCAATAGTACTGCTGCGAATAGTACTACCACTAAATCATAATGATCATACTAATAGTGATGATAATAATAATTGCCATTATTAATATTACTTTTCGTTATTTTGATTATTATTGTTATTATTATCATTTACTATTATCATTACTTAGTTTTTTAATTATTCACACTTGTTCGGAACATCTTGGCAACGACTGGCACATTGGTGTGTATGTCTTGGCTATTATTATAGATTTATATATTGTATAATATTATATATATATAGATATAATATATATATACTTATATATATATATATATTATATATATATATATATATATATATATATTCCTACATGCATATCTGCACATGGGTATGGATATACACATGCATTATGTTCTTTCCTAATCCTCCTAATGAGAATTGTAACAAGGCCACATTAACACTAAAAAGAATCAACACCTTTAACAAAAAGAAAAAATACAACGAAATCCTTTGTAAACATCGCTGTGAATATACAAAATCCATGTCTACTCCTCTCCCAGTGTCAGGTGTCAGGTCGCATACACAGTGGTAGTGAACATGAGTCTGCAGCGACCTCTTGAACAACTAGGTCACAAGGTCATCCAAACACGGGAGCTGGGTCAACTGAAGTACCGAGCTTATGTCAACGACCTCCCTCTCTCTCTTAGACGCCAGAGCCATCTGTTGGGCGAATCTGCAACTGTTTCTTTTTCCGTATATTTTTATTTTTCATTTTTGTTTGTTTATTTTCAGTTTCTTAGCCCACAGATGTTGGATATGATTGGTTGGAAATTATATTAATCCTCTTTAATCCCCTTGTAAAGTGACCAGAAGGTAGCTACAAAGAAAATAAAAACTAAATATTAGATAAAGAAAGAAAAAAGTTCAGTACTTCAAGGTCTTAAGGCGAATGGTCACGATTAATGCTCACATAGGCCTACTTTGCATTACAGTTGCGCTCATGTGATCTCGATATTCTGTTGTTAGAAATAATTCTCTTGGTAAAATGATAGATGTCAAAGATCATGTACTTTAATGAAATTACCGAAGTGGGCAGTAGAAAGATATGGGAGACGGTGAGGCAAAGGGGGCAATGGGGACAGCTAAAACAGCTAAATAAATTTCTTTACCATATGGCGTTTTATTTATAAAATACCTCCTCGTGTTTAATCTTATTTTCAATTTGAAAAAAGAAGGGAGAAAAGGGTATGTAGGATTTATAGATTTAAAGAAATTAATTTCAGTTACATTTGTTACAAGGGATATTCTTTTCTGTGACATTGTCCGTTTTATTTTGCTTCTGTGTGCAAGAATGGCCGGGATTACCTTCTCCTGGTCGCGCGCGGGATTGAACGCAGGTCAGCAAGAGTGCTAGACCAACACGCTGACCGCTACGCCAAGCACCACCAAGCAAGGCTGACGAGTGCTAGGAATTCCCCCAGAAGCCAAGGGGCCGCCGGCCTGGAAAGGTTTAGGAACCGAAATCACGGGGAAGGCGAGATCAGTAGGAACTCGGGGAGGTGTCATGTCGTCAGCCATTTTGTTCGTTTAATTTCAAAAAAGAACGGAAAATAATGATTTAAATGGTTTATATTTTCATTGAATAATCATCAAAATAGCCCTGTGAGCGCGGTGTGTCTCAGTCAAACTTATATTTAATAAAATTTTGGTGGTGATCCGGATCCATGAATTTTAAGAATGATTACCTCAGTTTTCCCTATTGCATTGCCTCCACAAGGGAAGTTATATTTCAATGATTTCAATGTAACTCTTAAAGTGTGAATTTCTTTATTGCATCAGTGACCCTATTGCCTTGGCAGAGGTTTACGCTCTGTGTGCTTCTAGTTACTATTAATATCATTATCATTCTCATAATCAGTTATTATCATAATCATCATTATTGATATTGCTATCAATATTTCATTATCATCTTTATGATCTTCACTGTTGTCATTATCATTATTGTTTTTTTTTTTTTTTTTTTTTTTTTTTGCACTTGCCATTTCATTATCATTACTGTTCTTATCATTGTCGTTAAGATAATAACGATAATGATATTCATTATTGATTTTCTCAATTATTATTGCTTTTATTCTACTATTATTATATTTTAGTAACGTGTTTTATTATTATTATTGTTATCGTTATTATCATTATTATGATGATCCTTACCATCATCATTGTTATTATTATTAGTAGTAGTAGTATCATCATCATTATCACCATTATTATCATTATTATCATTATTATTATAATTGTTATCATCATCATCATCATCATCATCATCGTTATCGTCATTATTATAATTACTATTTTTATTAATATTATCATTATTATTATTATCATGATTATTATTATCATTATTATTATTATTATCATTACTATATCTATTGATTATTACTATTATTATTGTTATTGTTATTATTATTATTATCCTTATTACTATTATCACTGTAGCTATTATAACGGTTAGTATTATCCTCAATATAGTTGTTATTTTTTCAGTATTATTATCATTATAGTTCTTATTAGAACAATTTCATGAATAAAACAGGCATTATTGCCATCATTACTATTATCATTGTTATTATTATTATTATTATCATTATTATTATCATCATTATTTTTACTATTATTATTATTATTATTATTATTATTACTATTATATCATTAGTATTATCATTATTATTATTGTTACCATTATCAAAATCCTCAGTAATTATCATGATTTTCATTATTATCCTCATTATTATTATTATCTTTGTTATAATCATGATTGTTATTATGTTTACATTTATAATGATCTCCATTATTGTTTTTATTGTTGTTATTGATATTATTGTCATTATTGTTACTTTGATCATAAACATTATTGCAATCTTTACTGACAGCATTTGAACTAAATTCTTTTTCTTAATTTTACTTGCAGCAAATGAAGTATTGTCTCCGGAAATTTAGTGTTCCACTCGAAAAGGTAGAGAAATGCAACAAGGAATAAAAAAGAAAAGGCAGAATCTTAAATGTAAACCGAAAATCCTGTTTTTATACTACAATGCAGCTACTACATTATTAATTTGCGGTGAAGGTAAACTCTACTGACTAAACACAAAAGGATGATATTCTAAAATAAATATATATATACATATAAAGAGATATATATCGTTTTTACGATGTAGCAACTATCACTGGTATATTCAGAAGGAATATAAAAATCTGATAAAGTGATTTCAATGAAAAATTATCGGTGTCATATATTTCTTTCAATTTTATTTTATTTTATAATTATTCATTTTTTTTACATACATTCGTATGTCAGTGCCAGCAGATTTTTTTTTATTTCATTTTTTTTTTTTTTTTGCATTTTTTTTCTCTCTGCCTATCATGGTGCTCCATTTTTCTCTTTTCCATCTTAAGGGGTAAATGGTATTTGAGAAGCCTAGGTAAGTGCGACTGTACTGCAATCTAGATTAACGGGAGCTGGTGTTGTCTTGAACATTTTCGGAATAGAAAGTATGAGACTAAAGCAAGATAAATGAAAGGATAATTTGACTGAGAAAAGGAAACGTGGATAAAGACGGGATGCTAAGACAGAGAGAGAGAGAGGAGAGAGAGAGAGAGAGAGAGAGAGAGAGAGAGAGAGAAGAGAGAGAGAGAGAGAGAGAGAGAGAGAGAGAGAGAGAGACAGAAAGAGAAAGAGAAAAGAGAAGAGAGAGAGAGAGAGAGAATCAGAAGAAAGAGAAGAGAATGCTAAGACAGGGAGAGAGAGAGAAGAGATAAAAAAAAGAAAAAAAAAATAGAACATGACGACGTAAGAAAGTAAAAAAAAATATATATAATATAATAATAATAAAAAAAAAGAATAAAATAAAGAATACGAATGATATATATATATGTATATATATATATATATATATATATATATATATATATATATATATATATATATATATATATATATATATATATATATATATATATATATATATATATATATATATATATATATATATATATATATATATACATTCTAACGACTCATGGGAATATCAACAATTGTAACCTAAAATGATAATAATCAAACTAACAAATACCTAAAAAAAAAAAGTCAAGCTCAAAATCCGATGCTCAGCCAAACAGCCAAAGCGAAGGGACACACCGGGCTTAGAAGACACAACCCTTTAGTCACTCGCTTCCCCATCCTTCCCGCTTCGCTCTGGCCACTAGAATCTCCAGGAACAAGGTCAGGACAGAGACCACGGCGCCGGCCACGAGAAGCACGAAGGTCCCAGCCAAGTCCAAGATGTTCAGGGGCCTTAGAGGGGCCTTGGTGCTGGATCCGATGCAGCGAGATACCGGCCAGTACTTCTTCTTCCAGACGGCCATTAACCCCGACTGGATCACCTCAAGGATGCTGTGGAGTGGAGGGAGGTTATAGGTGCATTATTTGAAGGGTTGGATATCTTCTTTTCCCACTTTCTTTTATTTTATTTATTTTTCTCTCTCTCTTCTCTCCTTCTCTCTCTCCTCTTCCCTCTCCCTTTCTTCTCTTCCTTCTCTCTCTCTCTCTCTCTCTCTCTCTCTTCCTCTCCTCTCTCTTCTCTTCTTTCTCCCTCTCTCTTCCCTCTCCCTCCCCTCTCCAACCATCTCTGCCCTCAAACTGCCCCCAAACCAATCAAAGATACTCACTGTATCGTGAAGACATCCCTGTAGGGTGATCCAGACTGTAATATAATGCCAAACCTCGTCGAGAAGAAGTGATCCCTGACAACGGTCATGCGGCACTCTCCATACAGCGCCTCTTCGTCAGCCACAGCAAACTCCAGCCAAGAATTGTCCTGTGAGGATTTAATTTCTGTTTTTTTTTTTTTTTTTTTTTTTTTTTTTTTTTTTTTTTACGTTGGTAGGGTAGGATTTATGGTCGCTGATGGTTGCTGTTTTTGGATATGCGTAGTGTGATTACGCCTTATCAAAAGGGGGTACTATATATGGATATTATTTGTCATGGTTGTGATAGCTTGACGAGAGGAGCAATGTTAACTCGAGTAAATTATAAAAACAAAGAATAATGAAATGATTTGTTACTTATCCAAAGAAAGTCGAAATTAACGCGGTTCCTTCCGTATGTTGATAAGTATTTGGCTGTACATCGCCTACAGGTTATCGGTCTAAAAGCTTAATATACACTCGGTCACAGTACTTTTTACTCATTAACACCTATCTATCTGTTTATCCATACCCTTTTGAACAAGCAAGAGTGTCTGTAGGATAAGTTAGAAAATCCGGAGAACAATTATCCTCCTAAGATGCAATAAGTAACGGGGAAAGCTGGATCAGTAGCAACTCGAGGTGTCCTGGCGTCTGTTTTGAAGATTTTTCAGTCAAATTATAGCCATTAAAATAATTATTTCCCATCCTTTTTGAAAATTGAAAAGACCAAAATCATCGACCATATTCACAAAGCATCCACAACTTTCGCGACGTCATCACAATAAACCCCCAGATGCTCTTTCCAGAAAAAAATAGAACCAGACGCCAAGACACCTCCTCGAGTTGCTGCTGATCAAGCCTTCCCGTCCCCCAAAAGGTCACCTCGAGGTACGCGAACTTCTGAGTCCGAACCGCCTCGACGCCCTCATCGAAACTCCCGACGAGGAGCCCCGGTCGATCCTTGTGCAGCTGCCCTACCATGCCGAAGGTGGTGTCGGGGGCAGAGTTCTGGAAAGTCGGGTGTGTGAGTCGGTTATTTGGGGAAGATGAGGGTGAAACGTCGGGTTTTTGGGAAGATGAGGTTGAAACGTCGGGTATTTGGGAAGATGAGGGTGAAAAATCTGGTGAGTTATAAAAGTTGTGATGGAAATCGGTTTTGAATCAGGTGTATATGGAAAAATGAGGGTGACAAATCGGATGTATTTATGAAAGTTGTGATAGAAATCGTTTTATTTTATATTTTTTTTCTTTTTTAATGAGGGTGAAAAATCGTGAGGGTTTATAATGTTGTGATGAAAATCGGGTGTATTTTGTAATTTAGAAACCTGCGAAAAAAAACGAAAAAAAACGGATGTATTCAGATATTTGTTATCAAAATCGGTTATATCCAGAATACTGTAGTGAGGAGGATAGATCATGCTTGGAAAATCATGATAATAATAATAATAATAATAAATGATAATAAAAATATGTATTTAGAAAATTATGAAATAACCAATTGTATTTGAAAAATCATAAATCATAATCGGTTGTATTTGAAAAGAAAGAAAAAAAAAAAAACGCAATTATAAGTATGATTTACTCGATTCATTTGCGTTTTTCTTTGGTCTTCCACATCCATATTGATGACGTCACGGTTACGAATCCGTTCAAATATGGGAAATTAAGATGAAAGGATCTAAGCAAAGAGTAATATTAAAAACATTAATAATACTTTTTATTTTCGTTTACTTTCAATAATTTTACCCCCACCCCTCCACTTAAATCCACTTAAACAGGGAAAATTAAGAGTAAATATTGAAACGCACTAAAATTACTTTTTTTTTTTTAATTTTCGTTTTATTTTCAATCATTTGTAATCCTCCCCCCCCCCCCACACACACACACCGCCTTTTTTTTTCTTCAGCAAAGTTGTACATAACGTTCGTTCATTTTCAGTGACTTACGGCCGGTTTGTTAGAATTGCGCGAGGCCCGACCCAAAGAATATTCGTATACTTGACATGCATAAATAAAGAAATAAATCCATATTTATCAGGCTTGACATGCATATCAACCGGCAAATAGATGGTTAAATGTATATCTATCAGATATATAAACAGATATCCCTTTATTTCTGCGTCTGTATTTATGAAAATTCATTGGGTCGGGCCTGGCACAATTTTAACGAACCGGCTGATTGTCCAGTGATTTAAAGGGGCACCGAACGTATGATGTCGCCATGAATTTGCCCGGACGTATAAATAGATGAATAAATGGACTGGGAAGTAAACGGATACGTGAAAAAAAAAAAAAAGGAAAGGAGAGCGAAGGTCGTTAGTAGTGTAAACCCAATGTGGTAAAAAAAAAAAAAAAAAAAAAAAAAAAAAAAAAAAAAAAAAAAAAAACATATTAAGATCAAAAATTATATATACATATATATATATATATATATATATATATATATATATATATATATATATATATATATACATATATATACATATATATAATATATATATATATATATATATATATATATATATATATTATATAATATATATATATATATATATATATATATATGTGAATAAAACATATTAAGATGAAAAACAAAAAATAGATTAATGAAATGTAAAATGATGATACAATGAAAATAATAAAATAAACTGATAAAATCTCACCCTAAAGATCTCCTCCATTGCACTGTTGGCCAAATACGTCCACAGGAGCTTCTTCGACTCCACCATATCCCTCAGGGACTTGACCGGAGGGACGGTGAAGCGCACAGTGAGGGAGGAAATGAGTTTGCTGGAGTAGGAGGCGATGAAGATGACGGAGAAGACCCACCAGAAGCCGGACATGATTCTTGAGGCTCCCGGTTGAGGTTGTTTGTTGGCTGCGAGGGAGGTGGGCACCGGAGGTTAAAAAAAAAAAAAAAAAAAAAAAAAATAAAAAAAATAAAAATATATAATAAAATATAGATACCTCTTACTATATATATCATAATATGTATACTATATATATATATATATATTACTATATCTCATATCTATCTCTTCCTCTATACACATATAATATATTCATCTCTCTCTCTTACTCTATTACTATATCTCTCTATCATATCATCTATTTCTATATTATATCTATTCATAATATATCTATATTATTCATACTACTATCTCTCTCTTACATAGCTGTGGCATATAGTCGAATTTACTATGCGACTCACATATCGTAAATCTAATTGTGCACCTCTACCACACACTAACACACACTCAACACTAATCATCAATCACACGATCGACAACAACATATTAATGATTAGTAATATATCTATTATTACTTCATAGCTGTGCAATAAGTAAAGTAATGTATTATTATATTATATTATTGTATATTTATTTATTCTTCTCTGAGTATATATATATCCATATTATGTAGTGTGAGTATGAAAAAATATTATGTATAAATGAATTACTCATCATAACTGTTCTGAGTTGCATAATATACAATGCACTGTAAGGAGATATTAGATCTAGTAGAGATTTCACTCTTATCTTTCTTATTATTTATTTCAGTAAAATTTTATTTCATATTTCGTTTTAACAATTTTTGAGTAAATCGGTTTTGTAGAATTGATTGGCGATGGTATTTTTTTTTGCATTATGTATTATTTTATATTACTTATTGAGCCTATTGAACTATTAGTAGTTTATTTTTTTATTACATTATAGCATAATTCTAGTTAACCTCTATGGACAACTAGTTTAACCTGACTATTTGTAATAACTTATTTTTCATTTTTCCTCCACAAACTAAATGGTGTTGAAGATATGTGCGTTGTTGTAAAAATGTGGTTGTTGTGATATAAGTTAGTTATGTGTTATGTGTTCTGTGTACCTGTTAGAATGACTTGTGCACAGTATTCGAAATTATTCTCAATTCTCGAATTTTGCAGATGTAATAAAAAAAAACGCAATAAATGAAAATATACAAAGATGCATTATAATGTATCAAGAGAAATCCCCTTTAAAATAAATGTAAACTGGACTCTAAAGAATGAGGGTAGGAGATAGAAAAAAAATACAATGAGAATAAAAATAAGGTAATTAAGGTATTGTGAGTTATAGTATAGACTATGATTTTAAAAAATAAATGAAATGAGATAATAAAAGATGTATTTTCAAAAGATGTGTGTCATTTGTTTATAGTAATAAAAAAGCAGCGAGCTGAGACATGTAGATGTGTGCTTTTGTTTATAGAGTAATGGAGAATTATTTGAAAGCTCTGATGTATATTTAAAAATATATATATGTTAACTGTATTTAGTTAGAAAAGAAAGGAAGGAAAGGAACACTATTTTGGTATAGAATTTAACAGACAGTTTTGTATTCAGAAACTATATTTCTTCCCATAAGTTTATGTTTTGTATTATGTACGCAGTATCTGAATTATTTTAATACTAAAACTACGTTATATGCTAATTGTATTTAATATATACTAGAATATTCAAAAATTTGATTATTTCTAATCGTGATACCAATATCAGATAAATATTTTTGGGAGTACCTTCTTATTTCATTAAAACTTCCACAAACAAACGCAAAAACTGAAATTTTAGGGGTATGCCACACATTCGACAACACACACACTCGATTTACCCCAAGCACCCGAGGCAGTTAAACACAAAATGAGGAAGGGAATAGTGTTGTTCGATACTATGGTTAGTACGAGAATAACTCCTCACAAACACATAGTCATACTACTTATGAGCTTTTACCTTGAAAATGTAGTGACACAAAATCCACCATTAAGTACCGTAACATTCACTTCCGGAATCCCTGGGATCCCGCTTAAGGTTCTGAAAAATGGATTACAGGAGGATCGAAACCGTTTCCATAATTTTCACTTAATTGTTAGTTTGTGCCGTTGGTGGGATACTTTTGTTCTACTCCACTAACCAACAACGGATGCTAGTCACACACACACATACACAATACACATACACATGCATGCCCACGCACATACAACAACCAATCGAGCGAGCACAGGAAAGCAAGAACTAACACAGGGTTCATACAAACGATTGACAACTTACCAAACACATTGTGGGTAAAGGTGTCACACATTACAAAACACGACGAGCGCGACAAATAGCACCGCCCACCATACACATACACACTCACGAGAGAGCATAAGACACACAGAAGTGTGCCACAACAGCCAGGTCGGCTACAGGAGAAGAGGCACACTTTTGTCTCGTTGTGGTGACAGTTTTTGTCTCGTGTGGTGAAGCAGCTTCTAGGATTTTAGCTGCTGACACAAGGCAACATCCATCATCCGTCAGCCCACTAGTGACACGACACACCGAGGCATCTGGCCATCCACACCATCAACAACCCTATCACGATTTTCTCCCAAGCGACTACAACACAGTCGATATACGGTGAGTTGTATACTCTACCTACAATAACTGGTTATTAAGCTTTGAGGAAGAAAGTAATGTGACGGACAATGAATGTTAACATCAAGATCTAGCACCTACACTTTTCTATGTATCGCAATCTAGCACACACATTACACAAAGCACAGTCACACATACACATTACACAATACACATACACACAACAGTGATCAATCACTATATTAATTTATACTAATCAAAATCTATCATATTGGTGACTACGGGAATCACCTCAAAAACGCATACAAACACACACGACAACCACCACCACACATCTGAGTAGTCCGATTACCAACTAAATCCACCTGCGAAACATTCACACACAACCCACACATGTAGCACAACACACAATTGGCACACAATGCATCGCATAACAAAAACCAATGATTTATCCACTAACAACGATAATAATAACTGTAATGATGGATCATCATTCAATATCAACACACTATAATTGTAATAAAGGCGCAATGAGAACACAATCTCACATATAAATAAATTAAAGAATGTAAAAATTAACAATTATGATTCAGTACTACATATAATACATATAACAATAAGTACACTATGTATTAAATAATCATATACAACGAAATATACACGAGATGTAAAGATTAGACATCATTATAGATTTGATCGCTGGTATTAAATTGGTATCAGCAACTAATACATGAGCACATGCATATACATAAGTGATAATTATAAAAACGCTAATGATAAGATGTGATAATGAATGATGGTAATGGTGAATATATAGTTTTAAACAATACACATAAAAACAAACAGTGAATCTGATTGCAAAACGCCGATAGAGGCAATAATAAATGATAAAAAGATAACATGAATGCCAACACACCATCACAGTATATAGAAGGGGTAATAGAGGAGAGAGTATATTATGCGAATTGGCTATTTGTATCTCAGCATCACTTCCAAATCCAAGACCATGAATATTATTACGTTTCTTGCTACCGAAATTATTCCCAGCTTGAATTTACTCTATGCTCGCATCCTAACTCAGTGTAACATATAGCAAAAACAACCCCGCCCCTCATCAACGTGTAAAGTCAAGAGTAAACCTTAATAAAGACACCGGTTTTTTAACTTATCATATGACTACGCTCGTCTGACGTGTTCGAAATATTTCACCGTATTTGTGTTTTTCCTCTTTGGAGGTGATTGTGGTGTTTTAATGTTTTTTTAATTATTTATTTAAACAATCTTCTTTTTGATTTTTATTTTTTGTTTCGCATTTTTCCCCCTTTTCCTTTTTCTCCTTTTTTCTTTCTCTCCTTCCTTTCTTTTTTTTTCTTCTTTTTTCTCATCCCCTTCCATTTTCCATTTTCCCTTTCTTGTCTTTCCTTCCGATGAACCGGAAAACAATCATGCCTACATCTGAAGGGGGAGAAGGGAAGCGAGGATTAGTTTCTCTGGGTTGGATTTTACTCGCGCTTTCATGGCTGTGTTTGGTTTGCTTTTGTTATTTTCTCAGGCGGGGGAAAGGGCGTAAGGTCTGGCGCGGGGACGGGGGGGGGGTGGGCCACAGGGCGGGTTTATTTGCATGGTCGACTTCAGCCACCGCCGGTTACGGGAATTTTTTTCTCTGTTTTATTTGTCTTGTTTTTATTTCGTTCGATTCTTTCTACCCGCCGTTTTGCGCTTCCCTCCGGTTGCTCCCTTCCCTTTGTGGTTTTGGGGTTCTATGCTCAGCGCATTTCTGCGCTATCTCTTGTGCGTTTTTTCTTCTCTCTTCGTCCTCCTCTCTTTTCTCTCTCCTCCTCCGCTCCTCCCGCCTCTTCTTTCTTCTCGTCTCCCTCCATCCCCCTATCCATCCTCCCCCTCGTCCTTCCTCCGCCTTCCCCTCCTCCTCTCCTTCCCCCCATCCCTCCCTGCTCGCTCTCCTGCCCGCCTCCCCCCTCCCAACCCATCCATCCTCCTCCCGCCTCCTCCTCCTCCTCCTCCCCATCCATCTCCATCTCATCTCTTCACTCTTCCTCCCCTTCTCTCTCCTCACTCTCTCCCCCTCCCCTCTTCCTTCATCTCCACTCTTCCACCAACCCGTTCTCGCCTCTCCTCTCCCTCTCCTTCTCTCCTCTCCCTCGTCCTCCTACTGCATAGGGACATCGAGATATGGCGGTCCGTATATAAGTCTCTCAATTTTCTGGATGGACTTGCGGGGAATGAGGACCTGTTCTGCATGTCGGTCTTCGTTCTACTCCGACAGGGGACCGGTCGTGCTCAAGTCGATCCCTCCGCTCTTTCCTCCCCGTTCCTCTCTCCCCTCCCCTCCTCTCCCCCTCCTAAACCGCTCGACTAGCGATTGTCCAGGCAAACCCCCAGGGCGCCTTCCCTCCTGCTCCCCTCCCCTTCCCGAGAGTACTACCTAGCCTCTCGTCC